CTATTAAGCAGAAAAACGACCCTTTACAAAGTGCTCTGACTATGCCCAAAAACTAATGAGCTCATTAAAGAATGGATCAAAACTTAAGTTTAAAATTTTTAGTTTTCACCATATTCGAAATTTGCACTTTTCCTCAAATATCTCGAATACGGTACAAATCATGTATAGGACAAAAAATTATAGACAAAGACTTTACAAGCAACTTTATTTGAATAATTTTCTTAAAAATTCTAAATATGCACTTTTTGTAAAAATTTTTGAATACGAACAATTTTAGGAAAATTATTTACCTATAGGATAAAAATTATAGAGCAACACAAGCAACTTTAATTTAAAGAATTTTCTTCTCCAAGCGTAAATAACAAATATTCGTAGCACATTATTAGAGGATTAATCAAAGCTTAAGTTTAATATTTAGGGTTTTTCTCTTTATCCGTTCATGAGTTATTGAGTATACAGACACACACATACATCATCGCGAAAATAGTCAAAACGGATTTAGGGAACCCCAAAACGTAAAAATCCGTCAAAAAAATCATGATTCATATACTTTCCTTATCTGTATACAGACAGGAAAGTAAAAAATGTATTCTGTCAATAAATTAATTCCTTTTTAAATAAAATACATTTAAAACCCTAATTAAAACGTGTATGACCCCCTATAATAAATTACAAACAATTTTATTATGCATTAAAAAAAATCAGGTGAAATAGAGACAATTCTGGACCACCTTGGAAGTATCTTCTATCAGATCAGATCACAAATTTGATGAACTTTGCCAAAAACGGCATTTTAAAATTAATAATAATTGATGGAACGACACTTTCGATAAACGTAAATGCAATTTGTTTAATTTTACAAAAGATGGCTTAGTTGGCCTAGTCAAAGCACAATGGCGAATTGGTGAAATGTCAACTGACTGCGCGCGATTTTTATTGATTGCTAGTGATTGCACAGCGACTGCGGGAGATTTCGGGAGACTGCGAGGGAATTCTGAACGACTGCGGCGATTTCTTAGCGATTGCTGATGATTTTGATGGGACTGCGGCGATTTTCAATGGGATTTCGGACATTTTGTACATGTATTGCGGGAGTGATTCGCCCCTCGTAGGGAACTATTTTGAGTTATACCACTATATACTTTGAATAATATAAGCAAACCTCAACAGATATTTTATTTAATGATGTTAGTCGTAGACCGTGTTAGACACTTGCACCACTGTCCTTAATTAGTGAGCAACGTTGCCACATATTAAACCACAAACGTAACGTTTTAAAATTTAAAAAATATGATTGAAACATATATGTACCTATATCCATATATTTTGAAATTTAAAAATAAGCAGTACTCGGGAGTCCCCTATTGTTATCAATTGATAAAGAAGACAATTCCCATTTTTTTCTCACCCACACGTAATCTAATCAAATAAATCATTTATCATACTCTATATTGTCATGAGAAAAAAATAGTCATATATGGAAGTGATCCATCAAGTCAAATATTTGTGGTTTGATAATAACTTTCAATAAATTAATGTCGCGAAAAACAAACGAATTTATCAAATCTGTCGACATATATATGTATATTCAATATTTACTTTGTGAGTTCAATGAAATTACATATCGCATTAGGTATAATGTTGATAACCATTTATCTAAATGTATACCCGTCTCATAGAGATAACAGTGGTGCATTTATCGGAAAAAATTAAAATAAAGTTATTTCTATCTGATTATTCCATACCTTACTTTTTCAACGATCACAATTATTGAAACCATTGAAATTTAAAATTTTTGCGGTGAAATATATGTTTTGCCAGGTAACTGAATATACTTAGTTCCGCAACAAATTATGTTATTTATATTCCACATGGTCTGTTGATAATTAAGTTAGTAAATTTTTTTCAGCCAATAATATTATTAACTCTCACCTGGCATGCTCATCCTAAGTAACATAACTGGACTCGTGGGGTACGTATGAACCCCACTGATAAAATTCTTTGTAAAAATTTAAATATTGATTATTTTGTCTCAAAAAAATTTAGAGATACTCTTTAGATACCACTTTGAACTGTAGAATAGTCCGAGTTGATAAAATAAAGATCAGCGTTCATAAAATCCGGAAAACTGGAAAACTTGAAAAAAATCATAACTTTTTTGTTTTTCGATAAAAAGGGCTACAATTTTAGCTATGTCTTCTTCTGTTACATCACTATAAAAGAATAATAATTGTTTTCATGAGTCTTTAAAAAAAGGTAATTATTTTGAGAGCGTTATCCCACTGGCCTAGGTATAAAACCCCATGACTACTGATAGATGTCGTTACGAGTTTCGATTTCGAAGATTTAGATATCGAAAATCGACGAGAAAGAGCGTGGGGTATGTATGTACGTACCCCACGAGGCCAGGTGAAGGTTAATAATATTTATTTAAAAAATAATGCAATTTACCAAGTACCCACTTGCAAATAAATATTAATACTCAATACCTATCAATAAGGCACTTGTTTTGAGAACAAAAAAATGTAACAAGGAAGAAGAAAAATATTTATAAAATTGTTGTATTCTAAGTACCAATACTAATAAGGCACCTCGTAAGGCACTTGGTTTAAGAACAAATATAAAAACTAAGAAGAACAAATATATAAAATTCTAATATAATCAAACGAATATTGAAACTGAAATACAAAAGGCAAAGAAAAATCAATTATTTGAAACAGTTACTAGGATCATTTTTTATACATTTAATTTTTTTAATATGGCTAAAGTATTACATTTGAACTCACATTTTATGTCAACTAGGAGGGTATTACATATTATTGAACCTAGATACAAATATGATCGTTGTCCTACTAGGAACAGTATGGAGATGTTTTAGCCTTGTACCTTGTATTAAAAAATTTGTTTTAGATCCATAATATTTGCCTCAACAAACAATGAGTTTGAGAGATACCTGTAAATCCTTTTAAGCTGGATAATTATATGATTTTAAGTTGATCTGGTGTTGGTACCTAATTTATACATTCTGAAATTTATATATTTTAATCATTCTTTATTTTATCTTCTTGTTAGGGATAATGGCAATAGTATACCCATATGCAGTAAAAATCAATTTATTAAATGAAGGTCTTGTATTGTTAAATGGCAAGTAATGAGTTAGTTTTATAAAATATTGAAATATAGTCTGCGAATACTAAAACTTCCCCTGAGCTCTATACGGAGAATAATCCGTTGATTATAGATTAAATATAATTGGACCGAGTACCGCACCTTGTGGGACACCGTAAGTTATTAAGCCTAAATCACTACAGACAACATCTACTTTTGTAACTTGTCAATTTGTAAGATGGCTTTCAAATAATGTGACTGATATGTCCTTATTCCTAAAAGATCCAAAGAATCACCTTAGGGCCGTCGGAATTCATTATTTGATTAAATAGATACTTGTTCAAAACCAAATTCATCTAATTGGTATCTTCACAACACTGTATATTTTATAAAATAACTAGCAAACTATCCAGATACTTAATTATACAATTACGTAATAATATTTATCATAGTTTCAATTCAAAAGTTTTCAACCAGGTCTCATCAGTTTTGCTCTGTAGGTCCTTTCATAACTTCGCGGTAGCTTACTTAAAAGTTATTAAACTTAAACTTACTTACAAGTTATCAAACTCAACGTTACTTATAGTCGTCGACTGTTATTAATTTCTTAATTAGATTAACGTGTTTTGTTACTTTTGGGTTTTAACATTGGTTTAAATAATAGCAAAATATGTTCAAATTATTTTAAAATTCTATTCGGAATAGAAGAAATTATTCTGTAGATTATTGTTCATTGCCTTATCATTTCCAAACTGTTTATAATTCTTACTACTCACTATCAGATTATTTAGGAATTTTAATTTTTTTGAAAAAAAATTTGTCGAAAATAAAATTAGTAATACATTTTATCAGTAATGAGTCATTTATTCATTTCAAAATGTTCTTTATAAAATCAATGAATTGTAAATACATATTGTTTACTATTATCGATATCTCCACCTATATTATTATCTAATCAGTTCAACATTATAAACCGATCAGTTCCTTTTTTTTTTCAATTTATATTTTATAATACTACCTCAATTGAACCAAATTCGAGAACTGGAATTTGAAGAGGTTTCGGATTCTTAATGAAAGGATCTTCACACAATTTGTAAGAGTTTTGAATAATTTCTGCAATTAACAATATAATTAAAAATGTATGTGAATAATAATTGTTCAACTATCTGCCTATTATTGTTTCAATTACTTACCTACCTATATTTTCTTTTTATTCCTTTAAAAGATCTTTTAGTAGACATTTCATTTATTGTTTTTTGAACTTAGATCTAGAACTATTTAGCACCAATGATTACAAATAAAAGTTTAATGATTTTATTTTCATGTTTGTCAAATTATTTAAAATATATCTTTAATCCATTCTGAAATTTCAAGTTTTTTGTTCAACAATCAAATTTTACTTTAAATAAATATTTTTTTTAAATAAATATTTATCAACGTTTTTGGTGGAGGTACTTATCTGCTGGACGTAAGTTAACATTAAAATGATATATTTCTGTATATCTACACTTTCGTTTAAATGTAGCACATCTTTTCTTCTATATTTTATTATTATTAAATTAATTTAATTTTCTATCAGATATCATTGGTATTTTTAATAAAATTCTCACTTTCCAAAAAGTTTTCTGAGCTATGAACATTGAATAAGAAGGAAACATTTTTAACAGGAAGGTGTTAGATGTTAAACGTGAAAATGTAGAAAAAAGTATGAAGATACATTTCCAAGGTAGCCTAAGGTATAATTGACTTATTTAGAATTTAGATACGGATTTTTCCATTTTTGTGGTCCTTCATATTTATTGGATACCATTTCCTTGTATATATTTATATAATTAAATTTACAATTATCATTTATCAAAAACATCTTGCTACGGATATTCGAAAAAACCAACCTTCAAATTCATTTAGTAAAACTCACTGAACCCATCACTAAAAAAATACCCACATACACCAACACAAAAAAAGTTTATATCCAAAAAAACAAAACAAAAAATAATCCAGCAGAGGCACAAAATCACTTCTGACAGCAGCGAGTAAATCCAATTTACGCCAAAAACAACCGAAATCGAACGAAAAAACAAAGATCCGGCTATTACGAAGGACCAAAACGTACGCGTCCGTTTTTTGAGCCGCAACCGACCAACATGTTATCACTTGCACGGTCGTCAGCCGACTGAAAGCATAGCACAGAATTTCCGTCACAGAGCAACGCGATTCAAGCTAGACGGCCGGAGTCACAGCCAGACTTGATTCAGTTGATCCTCAGACAGCTGGATGTTTACACCTATGACTCGCACCCCCACCACGTCGATATGACCAATGGAATCTCGATGCGAGGTAGGGATAATAATGTCATTATTTTGTAATTTACAGTTGGCCATGTTGATCACTCAGGTAGGCAGATACGACGAGGTTGAGGAAATTGTGGTTGTTGGGTATTAGTATTAGTCTCGGCCTGATGGATTCTTGAGGTTTTGTTGTAAGAGCCGTTTTTGCTGTATGCTGCTACATGGGTTTTGTCTTCCTTTGCTTTTGGGGGCCGGTGGAAGGAAGCAGCTATTATTCTCACGTTGAAAATTAAAACGTAAAGAGCCCGACGGATTTTGTGGTTTGAGTTTCGGGAGTTAATTTAGAGATCAAGACGTCAATTTCTTACGGGGTTAAGTCGGAAAGTTATAGATAGGGGTTTTAAAAAGTAAATGCTATATTTTAATTGATAAATTGATTTAGTTTGGTTTTTCCTCTTATAATAAAGTTGAAAGTAAAAAGGGATGATAGAGTAAACGATTTATGAGCATCTCGTGCGTCGCAACTCCAGCGGAATACTTAATTTTTCGCATTTCGGGCGTAAGGCTACAGGTAGATTAAATACCCTTCGCAACTCGGGCGTTCAAGGATCAGTACCAATATTATAGTAATATAATGAATGTCACCTCTTTAGTTTAACCAGAGAAGGTGCTTTAGGCTTAAACTTAAAATTATATACGGAGTGCCGTATAAGAAGAGCTTGCCAGTTTTTAAATATTATGTAACTTTCGTAAAACAAGATTTTTTATTTATCTTTCTCTGCGAAAATAGTCTTTACATTACATTGTTATGATATTTGAAATTGTCGTTTTTATTGAAAAAAGTATAATTTAATTTTTATATAATAATTAGATTGATAAATAATAGTGTACCTACCTCGGCTAGCTATTTAATTTTTAGTTTAATAAATTTTTTATGTGTAAGTTGGCTAAATATGGAAAACTTTTTTTTATTAGTTTTATCAAAAAAAAATTATTCAGCATAAAAAGTTGTGCATGGTCTAAAATCTAAAATACAACCATCAGATATCACATTTTTTAGCCGTATAACTAGGACAGTTGGCGGTATATGGAAAACTTTTTTTATTAATAATTTTATGAAAAATATGTCCTCATAAAAAATTGTGCGTGATTTGAAACCTTAAATACAACCATCAGATATCAAATTGTATAAGTCGTATACGAGGTTTGTCAAATAAGAATGTACTTTACACTTGGCTAAAAATTAATTTTTTAATAAATATAGTATACGACTCATAAAAATTTATATCTGATCGGTGTATTTTAGGTTTTAGAACATGCATAAATTTTTGATAAAACTAATAATAAAAAAGTTTTCCAAATGTAGCCAACTTTCGTTATCTGTAATGTTATATCCTTATTTTTAATATATAATTTTATTTTAATTATATATTTTCAACTATAATTCATTCAAATTGATTTTCTCTTTCTTTCTTTTTTTCTTTTTTTATTTATTCCAAAGCATTTAATAAAATAAACTTGAGTATAATAGCTTTTGTTTTATTAGGCATAAATAAAACTTCAAATTAATGAAATTTAATTATTAAGTTGGTTTATGTTTTTTATGTTGTAAATGGACAAGATTTGAAAAATTTCTCATTTGTAAGAAGAGAAAGAAGATGGGTTATGTTGTAGTCATTTTATTTTAAGTAATATAATTTTATTTTAGAGACAACCATATATTCTAAATAATTGGAAATTTGCGTCTGTTGTTGGATACATTTCTGAAATATCAGTATGTTATATTTCTGATAGGTTTCAAATTATTATTTATGAAATATATTAAATATTACATTCGTTTCGTAATATTTATATATTACAAATATTTCAGTGTTACATTCTTGAAATATTTACTGTGGTTTTGTGCTGTGTGGGTTTATAGAGGGTTGTTTTTCTATTTTAAAAAATGTATCTGTAATTTACGCTTGGAAAAGAAGATTGTTTAAATAAAAGTTGTTTATGATATTATTCTCTATAAATTCTATCATATTTATGATTTCCTTAAATTGGTCCGTATTCGAGAATTTTGACGAAAAGTGCAAAATTTTAATTTTAAAGAAAATTCTTCAAATAAAAGTTGTTTACAATGTAATTCTCTATAATTTTTGTTCCATACCTTTCTCTTAAATGGATCGAATTCGAGAAATTTGATGTAAAGTGCAAAATTCGAATATTTCTCATTATTTTCACTTATAATACCACTAGTGACCAAATTATTTTCGGAAATATTTTAGAAATCGCGAATAATTTGAAAATGATCCCGATATCATGCTCCATAATTTTTATTTTACACATGATTTCTCTAAAATAAACTGTAATGGAAAAATCTTAAATTTTGATACATCAACTAACTTTTCAATGCTCGCTATCTGTTAAAAACAAAACATGTTCTGCGATGTCATTCACTTCTCTTAAATTTTCGATAATTCATTACTACCTGAATCAGATTGTAATTAGAATCAGGGTACATAAACTATGGTCAAACTTCATATCCCGTCGACGCCCGAGTTGCGAACTCACAGGCACACAATTTTGGAGGGCGCCCGAGTTGCGACGAATTCAGGTAGTTTTATATTACGCCCGAGTTGCTAACGCACGAGTTGAGAAAGTACCGAGTAAACATTATTTCATGATTTAACGATCACACTTGAAGAATTACATACCTAATTATTTTTTGTTGAAAGAATTAGTTGAAACTTAATACAGTACTTACTATAACTGCAGTCTTTATATAGAAATTATATGCAATTGATTGACTATGATTTCCAGTTGCGAGATCTTGCGATCTTAGAAAGGCATTAGAATATTTAAATCACTTATTCATTACCTGTATCTGTAGCGATTCTTTTCAGATTTTTTTTAAACTTCTTATACTCCTTGTTTCAACGTTACCATTGGCATTCATTCCTTTATTATTTAGCAGTATTAAAAAAAAATAATCCTCCAACAAAATAAAAAAAATTGTGTTAATTTTTGTTGGTTACCACTCCCAGCAAACATTTTCGATATTATTAGCTATAACTCGACTTGGTAAAAGTCAAATCTACTTATTGAGGTAATTGTTACGTAAAATTGACCAGAAAAATGTACGTGTACTTTAAATTTACCAAATGGTTCTAATTTATGTATAAATTTACGTAAATTATACCAAGAAATCTACCTCGTACACATATCTGCTTAAAAGTAACTTTAACCAAATCAGAAAGGGGAAAACTACTAATAAAAATAACCAAAAATTACCTCAAAGGTAAATTTCCTTTAAAGTAAAATTAGATATCATAATTAGGTAACATCTACCTGTTTGGCAACTAAAAATCGTCTTTATAGTAAGTAGAATATCCTACTAGGTAGATTTGGTTGAACATTTTTCGTAACTTTATACCTATAAAGTAACCTATTTGGATGCTTTATTTACTCTACTTTAAAGTAATATTAGGTCGATATTGTAGAAAAATTTTAACTTGTTTTTCTACTTAATTTTAACCAAATAGTCGATTACTCATTTAGTTGACCTAAAAGTCATCCTGAATAAATAAATATTAACTTTATTGTAGCAATTACTTAAAAAATTTACTACAAAGTAATTTCGACTATAAACCACCAATTTAAAACCTGCCATACATAACCTATTTGTAAAATTTATATTATTTAGGTTATTTTAACAATAAGGCTGTTCACTTATTGTCTTCGTCAGTATTCTTGGGCCATTTTTAAAAACCGTTGCAATGGTAAACTTAATTCTCTTGCCGTATAGATAGGGCTATAAATAAATGCAAAAAATAATAAATAATACTTTCGATTTTTTTCGTAAAGTCAAACGTTTTACATTTCAAGTGCAGTATAACGTGAAAAATAAACAAATTACTCCTGTATCCAGTAAATTGATTTGTCAACACACGTTAAATAAAAATGTACACTTAGCTGAAATTTACTAATAGGTACCATTTCAAAAAATAGGGTGACCTAAATATGTTACATTTACCTACAGGTAAATTTTTGATAAAACTTACAAGTTATTAATTCTTTAAATAGGTAAAGTTAACTAACATGTCGTTATCTTTAAGGTAATTCAACTTAGGCAAAAGCTATTTGTAAAATACGTAGATTTCCATAGTCGTATTAATTTTTAAGTCGAAGTAGCACAATACGCCATATTTTTTTAACATAATTGAAGTATGATTCCAAATTTAAAATTTTTTAAATTAACTTAACTAGAAAAGAACGGATGAAAATTACAAATAAAAACATTATTGATTTTCTAAAGTGATACACAACAAATGTAAAATAGTTTTAACTCATAATATTATAATTTTTTTACATCATAATATTTCTTCTTATATTTTTTCTTATTAAAGAGTATTTTGGAAGAGCATTGTTATTTTTCAGAGTAGAACTGTTAACATGCACGACAAAATTTCCTTCGCATTAATTTTAACAAACGTAACCTATTGATTCGTCTTAATTAAATAACATATATTTTTGTTACCGACATTTATTTATTTTCAATCTTTGCTGTGAAGTAAGTATATGTTTTAGTTGTATTGGTCACTTCCTACAATATTTCGACTTCTATAGATAAAAATACCAAATAGTATAAAATTTATCTTTTTGTGCACTTGAAGTCATTCGTCATCTGGAAATCTTTGTAGTTTCTACCTAAAGCTGGTTAAATCAACGTCGAATTGACGTTATTTTAATGTCAAATTTCCCTAAAGAAGTATTACTAACCAAACGTAGTAGGCTACTACAATGTAGATTTAGGCGTAATTTTACCTATTTTGGTCAATAAAACCAAATTTCGACGTCGTTTCGAATCCACGTCGAGATAACGTAAATTTTCCTCAAATATGCTTAAATCTAATTGTGCGACCAAATTTATTATACATATTTTAGGTAGTCTCGACGTCAAATTAAAC